TATGTTCATATATGAAATAACCTTGAAGGAGGTGTAAAAACGAACATGATTGTTTTTCAAAATACAAATGTACATGTATATTGAAATAAAATACTGTACATGATTTAAATGTATTTGTTTGGTTATCGGATTTATCAAATATTACATGTTACCTTTTACAAAACACAAAACCCAGGCGTAAAAAAAAAACAAAGTTAAAAATTATGAAGATTTAAACGTTTGGATATTGTATGTAAAAAAGAAATATATAAAAAAAAAAACATGCACACCATCCGTGTTAGCGATATTTTATCATTTCGGGCGATATTTATTGGGTTTTTATTTTGGGTTTTTATTGGCTCTCACAGCACAGATATGAAGTTAGAGCACACCGTGTTGATTTACATCTTCAGAGTTAAAAGCAAAAAAAAAGAAGAAAAAAACGAACATTTTATTTAAATAAAATGTATTAATGCTAATAAACCCATGATGGCATAATATACCAGCCTGATACAGGTTCTCATATGTGAAATATAGTTAGCGTTACATAACAATGTAAGACAAGATCATGATGGCAAACTCTTCTTTAAAATGTAGAATCAGAAAAAAAAATCTAAAACTTATAATTATATCTATGATATTTTAATATGAGAACCAACCAAAATTATACATGCTCCTTAATGATGCAATATGTAAAAGTAAAATATAAAACTTTCAGTTAAAGGTCCAATATGCCCTAGAAACGAACAATTTTCCACTTTAAAAAGGGCAAACAAATTTTTAAATGATAGTTTAAGATAACGTTAAATGCTGTACATATGAAAACAGTATGGAAGAATGTGAAATTATTTGTCATAAAAGTGGAAAAAGTAAATAGTATTTTGACTTCCATACACACTAATCATTCTCTGAAATTGTACTATTTTCCAATAGGCAACTTGGACAAAAGATGGATCAGAAAGTTGCATCAAAAAATAAAAAGCTTTTGAAGTTATGCATTTCTACGGCATAATGGGCCTTTAATAAGTCGGCACCTTATTTTTTTATTTTATCTTTTTTTGATCAAACACACACGCGGCTTTCTACAATGTGATCGTTGTATAACAAAATAATTTAAATATGGAGGTACAGGATGAATATGTATGTAAGTATTATCTTTACCTATAAGTTCACAAGACAATAAATAACAACCTCTTCAGTAAGAAAGATTGCTCCTTCAAACGTTAATCGTACTTGAGGTATAGTTGACTGTATTGAGGACAAGGAAGGATGGACTGTAACTATAAATACTTCATGTGAATATCTATACAAATATATTTATCGATGTTTATTGATTAATTGGTTTAAGAGTCAAGTGTCTCGTAAATTGAAAGGTAATTTGCATGAAAATTGCATATAGAAAAATAGATGTAATAAGGTGTATCATAGTTTGGAGACTTTTCTATTTTTATTGTGTCAGAGTTAAATCGTATGAGTGTGTTGACTGGAGTGCAGGTATTAGTTACGGAAAATATAGCATGCACGTTGATTGGTTATATTTTTCTGGGGTTTACTTATTGTTATGACAAGGAAAGGGATAATGATTCAGGTGCTCGTTTATTGGTTACTTTTTGTTGGGTTTCATACTGTGACGACAGGGAACGCATTTTATTGTTGTTGTTGTTTCTTTGGGGGTTTTTTCTCTTCTCTTTTTTTCATACAAAGGGGAAGAACATCAAAACACTCGGCTAACTGATTTAGTCTCGTATTTCGATGCTCTTTCTATGACTAGGAATCTGATCCAGTATTCTATGTTCTAAATTCGTGCAATCACCAAATGATGTGAAAATTACAGGAATAAACAAAATTACTATGTAGTCTTGATAAATGCCAGGACAAGCCCCAATAAAATACTTGTGGCCGAGTGGTTAATGTAGTCTACGGCAAACCACTTCCTCTCACCGCCGTGAGTTCGCCCTGGCAGGCTGGGAGTGTTGATTTTTTCATGTGAGGAAACCATCCGGCTTGCTTATAAAACATCTTGTGTCTTTTCGCGTCTGAAATAATGCACGGTAGGGCACCTGAGTTTTGCCTCTACCAGTAAAGCTGGAAAGACGCCGAATGTCGTTAACAGTGCTGGTGCTACGAAAAACAAGAACAATATATACTGAACTTTTGTGATCGTTCTCATTGTCATCAAACGCTTCGCAATTTCCTTATAACTGCTCTCTCTTTTTTTTAATTACTAGAGCGATTTCATGCTGCGAATTTATTTTAATTAATTAACTGGAAGAAAACCAGGTTGTGAATACCAAAATAGGAACACAGTTGTTTACAAACGTAAATTATAAACAAACCATTCGTCAATTCTGACGTTTTCATGATTATAAAAATTACGTGAACACGTGATACGCATATGCATGATCTTTAAATAGCAATTTAACAAATTCACCCGCAATTTTAAATGACATAAATACTTGAAACTGGTCGAAAATTATATCAGTATATTTGGAAAGCGCATGACCGTATCTTATAAATGGTCAGTGGCTGCCACAAGGTATCTTCGGAAATTCAGAGGGGGGTTGGGGGGTTCAAAGGACCCACATGATTTAAGGTAACCAGAGCCATTGTACTTTTAGATGTTGCAATACCAAAACGTACTTAAACAACTAAAATCGTTTATTTTAATAAGTCATTCATCATACTTTTACATACGAGACCACAGAATTTTTTTCTAGAAAATACCTGTTTGATTTTAACAATTTAATTCAATTTGTAAAGATTTTCTTTTCATTTAAACAAGATTACTAACTTATATTTATTAATAATAATATAAGGCACACATTCAGTGTGTGATGATGCTTGTGATGTAATGGGCAATAAAGTACTTTTATATTTATTTTATATCCTTATATGTTTCATTCCATTAAACATCTTAGTAAGCGAAATTAAACATTTATCCTTCAAACTAGACCTTCTTAATTCACTACCATCTTAAGTTTTTTTAGTGTTTTTTTTTTTTTGTCATTTTTTTTTCTTTCAAAACATCCGCGCAGTCTGAATAGGATCCATGCTGTTCGCTATCAGTTCCTTTACTTGTTATAGGGTCTGTAAGCGAACAGCATGGATCCGGATCAGACTGCGCGGATGCGCAGGCTGGTCTGGATCCATGCTGGTCGCAAACCCATTATGTTGGTTTTGGCGTGACGCGGCTCATATATTCATCGTCTAACGAGTTCCTGTAAGACAATATTGCGAATTAGAATGTTTTAAAAACTGATTTCTCTGTTCAGACATACGTGCATAATGTTTGATCAGCAAGTCTAAGTTGTTCAGTGACACATGTATTCAAATCCCTACCCGTATCAGTGTAACGTTTACTGTTCAATACTATACCAAATGATTGTAATAATAAAGTGAACCTACTCAGGTGCCCGCTCGTGTCTAAAATAATGCACGGAGAGGTACATGATGACTTTCTCCACCAGTAGAGCTTGAAAGTTGCCTTTGACTTCTTATGAGCTCCTGCGACGTAATAACACAACCAAATAAATAATAAATATTAAGTAAATAAACTGAATCACCATGTGATTAATGGTGTTAACTTTTATCAAGAGACTAATACGATATACTCAACCACCACTGCCCCAACTGTTCCAAGGTCTATCAACTTTTGCAATTCATCACTTATTTAACACTTGTTCTAAATGTATTTTTGATGCCTTCAGCATTACAGATGGCAATCTTTTACTTTACTGTTCTGATGTCACACCAATGTTGATTTCTTAAAGTTATTACACCCACTTATAAATTGATTTGACTATTTCCTATTTTCACATTACTTACAAATTATGCTTTTCACCAATATCTCCGCAAGTGATCAACTACTAATTCCGCTTGTTTCCTGAGAGAGCAATTACTATGGCTGAATATTGAACTATACATATTCACGTGCATTCTACACCGTTGTTAAGGTGACCTATAGGCCTATAAGGCCGGGTGTTCTTTATTTACATTGTATATATGTAATTTTCATGTACGAAAACACATGTCACTATAATAAAAGATTATTATTATTATTATTATTATTATATATAAAATGTAGATGTACATAATTTCTAAATCGAGAACATTGATGCTTGTTATGAATATGATCTCACAATGCTATTATTTCGTTAAACTTCCTCTATTTTGCAAAATATATTTGAATTCTTGGAGAGTAGCTTTTACATTTATTGAAATAGTTCCTTGATATAACTTCTTGCATTATTTTATGATCAAATGTCTATTGCCCAGGTAAATGTATAATTTAGCCCTTTTAGATACAGATTGAGGAATCAGTGTAATGATAAACGGTTTATGCAGTCATATAATGTAGCAAAAATGTTTAAACAATGTGTATCAACAAATGAGCCGCGTCACGACAAAACCAACATAGTGCGTTTGCGACCAGCATGGATCCAGACCAGCCTGCGCATCCGCGCAGTCTGATCAGGATCCATGCTGTTCGCTTACCAACTCTATTACAAGTGGAGAAACTGACAGCGAACAGCATGGATCCTGATCAGACTGTGCGTATGCGCAGACTGGTCTGGATCCATGCTGATCGCAAACGCACTATATTGGTTTTGTCGTGACGCGGCTCAAATGTTGACACGCCTTAAACATTAACGAGCTTTAACTGATTTGCTTAAATCGATCAACATCATTGTCACGTAATAGAATGCGAGCACGTTACGTGATTATTACGTAATGTATGACTGCACTATTTTCAAAACGTTCCTTAGCTTGTGTAGCGTACACTTTAAACGTTTTTGTTTTTATTGATAAAATTGATCACTGAACGTCTTTCCTTTGTAATAGGTATGTGATGTTTTCAGTTGTTTTCATGAGTCGAACCTTCAATGTATAAAATCTGATAAATGATTTGTGGTTACTATTGTTTATGTCCTATCTGTTCGCTTGCAGACGAATAAGCCCTGCAATAAATTTGGTTAAAATTTATAATACCATTTAAATCGTAAAATTTTACATGTATAATTTACCGTGTTCTATGTCCTTAATATCACCTGAACTCTAAAGTAGACAGAAACATTTTGGATCCATTTCTTGGGTCAGTGCAAATGTGTCATAGAATAGAAAATTTTGAAACTGGATTTTAAAACGTTTTGTTCATAAACGAAGCGCAGATCTGAATTCTGCATAAGATTAAACGTTAAAATCAGCTAATTAACTATATACTAATTAACATATAATTGTTTTAATTATACCGAGCAAATATTAAATCTAGTTTAATTAAAATAAGTAATTAATATATTAATTAAAACGTTTTTTGAAATGGGATTATACAATCAAAATTCGTCTCCAAATTACAAATACAATAATGACTATAGACGGCGTAGCTCACTGGATTTTATTGGAGTAGATGAATATGTTAAAGATGAGGGTCTTAAAAGACTGGAACTGGGTAGGGATAGTGTAATAGATCCGACAGATATTACAGCTATTTTAAGAAAGAAACAGAAAGAAAGCAAACCAGTGTACAGGTATATATGCTATTCTTCAAAATAAATTAATTTGCATGTAGAAATGCGTTTTTTCTTCAAAATGAAAATTCGCAGGAAAATATGCATTTTTGAATTGATTTGGCATATAATAGAATGTCTACAATAAAAAAGTACGTTGATAGTACTTAGTCTCAGATAAAACAAATTATACATGAATGTTGTTGGCAAGTGTGAGATACATGATTCGATCTTACATATATTTATACAGCAGATAATAAAATGTTCTAGAACCAAATATTTTTATTCATGATATAAATAAGCAAATTAAATGACTTGTAACTTTATCAACATTTGTTTCTAGAGATACTTTTCATATGAATATACAAAGATACATTTCTATTGTTTTAATCAATATTTGAAATACTTATTGAAAACGTGCCCAATGAAAACTAATTTAATTTAAGAAGAAAAAAACTGCTAAAGACAAAGCAAGTTAGGATTATTGTTCCACGATATCTTATATAATACTATTTTATTGATAAATGATAATTGTGTGTTCCATTTATTGCAAATAGAACGCTCCACATTTAGAAAATTCAGCAAGTCTTGACAAACAATATAAGGAGGGTCATTTTAGAAAACTTCACTCAGAAATATTAATATCGCTCTGACACGTACGGGATAACAGAAGAAGAAACTTGGCGCGTGAAAATAAAAAATTTTGAATCACCTTTGTGCTGTTTCATGATGGGAGGTGATTATTTTTAATTTGAAAAACAAGAAGTACGTTACCATGAAAAGAAAGTGAAAAATGCTTACATAAAATATCCTTATAATACTTAAAACATATTAATTATCAACGCTGTTTTAGGTGATATACATCCCTTATAATGTCGGGTTTTTTCTTCGTCGCGATTGAATAATCATATGATTATTTTAAGTCAGCAACTTCTCAGTACTGAGTTAAGTTATTCATTTGAAGAAAATTTGGATCACTTACAATAGAAACTTCTATTTGTTAATAGTTTAATAATCTAGTAAGAACAATTTATTTACCGCTGTATAACATATCACTAAACAAATACATGCAAATACACAGTGATCTCAATGTATACAAGCATTTAAAGATAAGCTTGTACATGGACATGCGTATGATTCATTTATATGTATGTTTTATGTTCACACGGAAGTTCTCGTTTCATTATCAAGTATAAAGATAGATTGTTCGAACAATAAATTATTATTTACGCTACAGCACCATCTGTTTTTATTTCTATATAGTACATGAAGATATTTGAAACTGTATCAAACTTTCTCAATTTGTTGTTTTGAATGTTCATGCATTAGAATGACGATAGCGACGCCATTTGCAAAATATCAGTTTTTGTTTTACTTTCCACGCATTTATAATGATATATTGTATCTAATTTATTATTTTTGTTATCTAATTAAGACGGAAATTTATATTCAATTAATTTATGGAATTGAATTAAGTCAGTACATGTATTTGTTATACCAAATGTGATTGATGGCCTGAAAATATGTTTACAGAACAGAGAAACGTGCTTTTGTTTTTCTGTCAGTGCATTCCTTTATTACGGAACGATTCTTTTATGTGCGAAAGCTATCCAGCTAACTTACGGAAGGTCCGTGGTTCTACTCAGTTGCTTGCTTGTGCCTGAAACAATGCGCGATGGAGGGACCTTAGGACTTCCGTAAGTAAAAACTTGAAGGTTGTGACTTAAATTCAACACGCACGCACACACAAAATCTTCAACAACAAACTGACGGTAGGTCGGTGATTTGTACGATGAGATGACCACGAGTTAGGCACTTGTGGAAAAGACAATGTTTTAACATACACATTTTTTGTTTGTGATAAATTGTTTACGCGATACAATTATATGCAGCTATATGAACTCATTAACTTTAATTATTATTTTCCATTTAATTGATATAAATTCTGGGGATTTACTTTTCACTGATGCATTATCTTAAAAATTAACACTTAACTTGTGCTTAAAAAAACGGTGAGAAAAATTTGCCGGGGTTATTTTAGAGTTTGTAAATATTTTATTTTATCTTTATAAAAAATGAAGTTTAACTTCAATTGTAAATCGTACTTATTCATTCTTTTTTTCAAGAGTCAGCTAAGTGTATTTCTATTATCTATGTATTTAATTAAAGGATGGTTTCTAATGTAAAGTGGCTACTGAAGTTTAATTAAATTCACTTTACTTAATAGCTCTCGGTCCGTAAAACTACGAATTGTATGCTTAAAGTCTAAAATTCTTGAACCTTTCGGACAGCATGTTTTGTTGTTATTGTTCGGCAGTGACGGCTCCGAGTTGACTGCTATTAAAAGTACGATCACTTGAGTACGATCACTTATTTAGCGGAAAAGTGAGAACGGATAGTCATTCTTGTCGGTAGAGCTGCAATTCGTCATTTGAGCACACTTAGGGCGGACTCACGATCATAATCATGCTTTTAATTCTCATCCTGTACATGTATACCTGTAAAGGGCTGTTATTTATGAATTTGTTCATATTAATCATAAAAATGAATGTTATGCAAAATTAAGATTTGTATAAGATGAGAAGTGATGCGATCTGATTTACACAATATTGTACAAAGAATGCAGCGCGAATCTTGATACAAATATCGTCAAAAATGATATACATCCTTCTTTAGAGAGAATTGACAGAAGAATATTATATTGTATATAATTATTTATTATCTCCCTGAAGTTATATAAAATTTGAAACAGTAAATTACCTGTAATAAACCCACGTGCTGTTAAGTGGTTTTGTTATCACAGTTCAGAACATAAATTAAATTTATGGAGAAAAAGATGTGCTTTGTTGATATGAAATTATTAGAAGCAAAAACATTTTATCTTATTTTTTATAAATTCAATTTCTTATTTTGTTTCTAACAAGTAATAAGCTTATTTACGAAAATCCTGTTGAATCATACATTATTGATATTTGACGACTTTTTGCCATGTTAATTATTTGCAAAGATCTTAAGATCACGCTTATTAAAATAATTAATGTAAAAAAATATGCCCATTCAACTACCTATATGGACCACACTTGGACAAGTTATTTCAGAATTTTAATACATAGTTTTTATTTGTAGACGAAATTGATAAATTAAGTAATATTGTGTCTTCAATTAAAATAAATTCCGAAGGTTTCATTTACATTTTTATTTCTGAAAAGATAAACAACAACATGTTGTAAACAAGTGTGCATTCCTTTTATTAACTAACACAGTGGTCGTATAAAGTAAGTAATTGGAAGAAAATGCTACTGAACCATACGACGATACTTGTACGAGTTACTCCCCTTTGATAAACAAGCACGATACTATAAAAATATTGTTTTGCACTACAACAAAATGACATGCTACTAAAGTATAAGTAATATACATATATTTAGACTAAGTAATAGATAGGGCATATTGGTTTTAGTATGTCTGTTTTTGTATGTTTGTTAACACAAAACATCACACGAAGGTCCTTTTGTCTAGAGCCTCCAAACTTCACAGCTGCACGAGCATTAATGTGCTCTACCTGCAAGACCCACATAGAGGTCAGACCACAGAATTAAAGGATTCTGGCCAGATACTGTTGCCATCCTTACTATATGTTCACATTTATACCTTCAAAGTTGATAATGGACAATTACAAAAGAAACATAAGCTGGACAAGTCCATTTCATCAGATTAAATGGATGGGTCATCTACTTATAAAGATTATAATATACAAGCATGTGTTGACGTTCAACCCAAAACTCTTTACTCGTTCCAAAGTTAAAAATTACAGTTAACATATGTTGTAGACTATTTTATGTACATGTAGCAGAAAATAACTTTATAGATAAGCAGTGAATTTAAATTTGATATTTCTTTAAGCCTAAGAGAACTGCTATCATGTTGACTGGACTTCACAAAGCGGTGTCGTCATCACGAGGATACAGGTATCTTTTCCCCGACAGGGCATAGTTCTAATATACCTGGGTGAAGTGCCAGAAACCATAGCAACTTTACAACCTCTTTTATGTAGTTACATTACATGGAATCGTACGAAATATTCATAAAACATTTTAGTAATGCTCAGATTTCAGGACATGACAGGTTAAACAGCACTTTACATGAATAAATAAGAGTCACTCATTCTTTACCATACAATGTTGTCATTTTTTATTTTCAGAGTACGGAAAAGATTGAATATATTACTGCATACGCATATAGCTCTAATCACAGTGTGTGTACTCAGTAGTCTGGATGCCATCTGTGTTATAGGGCAGGTCATTTGTGATATCCTCATAATGTCAGGTAGGCTTTAAATAAATGTACAATCATATTTTCCGTCTATTATGCACAGCTTAAAATAAAAATTTTCGTTATTGTCCTGACTTTGAAGATTTTTGTTGTAAATTTTATATGGTTAATCGAGCCAGGTTTCTATTTCTTCAGTAGGATTAAATTTATACTTAATATAATAAAAAAATTCTTTTTTCTGCAGAGAAATTGTCAGATTTTGATAAACTACACGAACGGTCAAGTGAACTACTTGTAGACGTACTGCCGGGCTACTTTAACAACACGGATCACACCGCTTGGAGTTTTGAACAGCTCATAGATCATATTGAGAAGATTTTTCTAGGTGGCGCTTCCAATCATCATTTAAGTGAGCACGTGCAACATCATTCAAATCATTCTTTGCACAAGGACAGCATCCTATCTTTAATATCAAATTCATTGTCACAGGTAAGAAAACATAAAAAGTGGTAAAAGGTTCCGAAGAGATATGGCCCACAGGTCACACATATAAAAATATCTGCGACTTCCGATGCCAGAGCTAATTTCTTGGAGTTGGTTTAATATATTTATCGATTACTACAAGGATATATTCAAGCGAGTCAAGGCAGATGCATATTTCCCCTTTACCATAGACATTACATACAACATGTGTCAGTTGTATTATAGTTTGGGGACTTTTCTGTTGAAAATGTGTCAGAGTTAAGTCGCATGCCCATTGATTGGCTTATTTTTGCTGGGGTTTACATATTGTGACGGCAGAGAAAGGGAAAGCGACAGAAATATCATATTCAGATGTTCTTTCATTGGGTCCTTTTTTCCGGGGTTTCATATTTTGACAACAGGGAACGTGTTTTTATGTTTGACTATGAGAACATCGAAACACGAGGCTATCTGATTTATATGAGGGGGCGTAGCTCATTCTTTTACTTTACACTTTAAATATGTCGAAAGTTAAATAAAAGTGTTTTTTTTTCTAAAAAGTAATTTTCTTTCATAACTGATAGTTTTACCCTATCGTGCTATTTGAACAAACGAGCAAACAGTGTTTAAACTTATGGTGCAAGATCGTTAACTTAGTTCTATTTTTTCTTCTATCCTTCAAACTTTACAGTCACTGTGTGACCTTAACAACGAAAAATATTACATATTGTTAATGTTTGTGTTTGGAAGAAATATTCACGACTAAGACTATTTCCTTCAAACTTAGTAAGGCACAGGTTAGTTATATTAACCATGTGCCACTTCAACACTTAATATTACATTAAAATGATATTGATATGTATTATCTACATTTCCTACAGCCACGGTTATCACGCTCTGTGCGTTCTTCTGGGGCTGATGATCCGACACTAATGGCAGGTGGTGGTGGTGGTCATGGAGACGAAGAACACAGTCTGGCGTATGAATTTACCCACTCGTTTCATATCGGCTCTATGGCACTACTTTCAGCTCTTCTGTTAGAGGTATTTTTATTTCAGCTCTTCTGTTGGAGGTATTTTTATTAACTCACGCGAAAGGAAAAAAACTGCGGAGCTTCTTTTTTTCTAATTTTATGACTGACACATTGAATTTATTTGAACATTTCGTTAAAACTAAAGATAAGATTCCGTTATAACGAATTGATATTTGTATTTCATTTCAAACAAAATAACATTAAACGCAATAATATTTCGTGTAACAATTCGTTTAAACGTTGTTTTTTTTTGTCTTTTTTTCTTTCGTTTAAATGAAATAAGAAATAGTTGTGTCATTCAGAGATGTTTGTTTATGTATTTTTTATGTAACTTTTTTTAATTACAATAAAACAACATAATAATATCTTGCAATCAATATAAAGTTTCAACTGACTCTAATATCTTTTTTAATTCATTATTTCGTCCTTTAAAATCAGTTCCTCATTATGACATGTTTTTTATGTATTAAAATTGTTTTACAATGCAATTAAAAGTGTTCGAATAAATCATAATATGATTTTAAACTGGCGTAATACATGTTGAAGATAAGTCTTGCGTTTTAAATTGATGAATTAGGCCATGTACAAATAAAACAATATATCATTTATGATGCATTTTTGATGAATGATTCTTTCTTACATAAACGATAGTGTTACTTTATTTCAGACGTTTTTAAAGATTTTTGCTATGGGGAAACACTTCTTAAACCATAAACTTGAAGTAAGTGTTCTGTTAAGTTTTATTTAATGAATTTTTATTTAATGGAAATAGTTTATGCCATAAATCATGTCAGCTATTAATTTATAACATGTAAAATATGATAGTAAAAAACAGGGATGTTATAATGACACTTCCATCATGTTAATTAAAAGGAAATCAATTTAACAAAGAAATAAAATTTATATATATATAGGTGCTATATAATAGGTGCATTAAGGTGCATTGTGTCTGTGCTCGAAATATTTCTTTCAAAGTTTAATTAAAAGATGTAACCGAACTGTTTTAATATATATTATCAGAATTGTATTCATTGGAATTCATTTTTTCTCTCGACTAACGCTATTCGAGATAAATTTATGTATATGAATTAATTATAAAATTGATAATATTTTTTTTCATCATCAGTGAATATTTCAGAGATATTTAAAAAAAAATACTTTTCATGTTTTTAAAAGTTGAACATTATTTTTGATATCTTGAAGTATTCGTTGTTCATATTTAAGATATTATTCTATTTTTATTGAATTTATAAATTGTTGATATTTTCAGATATTTGATGCATTTGTTATCATGGTATCATGGTGTTTAGATGTGGCATTCTGGGAAGGTATCTGGGCACGACCCGGGCAAGAGGGAGCCACCCTGCTCATGTTTATATTACCCTGGAGAGTAATCAGGATTGTTAACAGTAAATTTTAGTTTTATTATACGAGATAAAAATAGCTTCAATCACATAAGTCTAAACAATAGTCAACAGGCCAATTGATAAAATCATATCAACTGGGTGTAGTATCATAGTCACAGGCTAAATTGGATTTTCCCAATCTAAAAATGAAATTAGGTTCATAGTCAATGACCATAAAGCAAAGACTATTATAAATATGCAAGCGAAATTCATATTCACTGGTATGAATATATTTATATTTTCAATTTGTTTTTATAGCAAATTTCTAGATTCAAATTTGACTGCTTTACATAACATAACATAACATAATATTTATTCAGCATTAAATGTTACAACATTTATAGCCATTTCAATATATAATACAAACATATAAGGGCAAGTACATGGTTAACAGAGAATTATATACGAATGATTTATACAAATTAATCTTAAATTATTTTTTTTTAACAGAGTGAACATAATTATTTTTTAAAGTATTTCCTTAACAATATTTTTCATCATTATTACCATTTATCTGTTGTGTTATTTCTATAGTAAAACATATTACAAAGAATTTTTTTCTTGTTACGAGCAACATTTATGTTTATTATAGCATAAAATCGGCTATTTTTCCCTCTTTTGCCCATGTTATAACGGGACCAAAACCATGTGTTAACATAGTCACGCGCTCTTGTTATAGCCCGGTTTCACCTATGCGCAATACATACAGGGCCCAGTAAACAAACAAACAAAAATGACGATTTGGCCTGTTTGCCGAAGAGTCATGCGCTCTTGTTATATTGAAATTTATTGATTCGAGGGCCTCAGTCGCATATTCAAGTAACTATGCCGGAAAAACGGCGTATAGACATCGGTGCTAATCTTGGTTGTCGCCCTTTCTAAGAAACGGTAATCTACCTGTCATTCAGTTTAACACTCCGATTAACTTACAAAACTAGATAACACAAAATTAATATGAGAAAATGTTTTTTATTTATGTTAATGTTGATAAATGCTCTTTATATTTCTTTGAGAGAATAATGCTTAGTGCCTGATTTTTTTTATAAACTTGTTTGCTTGAAAAAAAAAACCGATTCTGATGTCACTGATCTTTTTTCTACCGTCAATCTCACAGGCGCTAGTCACATAATCAAATATTTTACATAATCGGTCTATATATGTATATAAAGATATAAGGCCCCCAACGAAACAAAAACAGCATGCAGAACAAACAAGAACACTGTTGCAATAAACGACCAGATCACGGTTATCTCTTTCTGGTCGCCACCTGAAAGGATCAATCCAAGTGCCAACGCTTTTTATTTCATTAAAATCCCTCAAATAGCAAAGAAATTGGGAAAAGTTTCGCAAAATGCCAATATTTTCAATTCATGTCGTTTTCGACGTCCAGTCCATTCATGTATACAAACACGATTTCTGATCGATTTTTACGGAAAAAAACAAAAAACGGCTAGAATTTCCACGTACGTTCCATAAACAAACTCTTTTCCTATCGATCTGCGAAGTCTTCACTGATCAAATGCCCTCTTCGTACGTATTTCATAAAAAATACACAAGGATCTCGCTTGTGACAGTATTTTATCGCCATGTATAGCGCATGTATATACTGTTCCGCTCTGAATATTATATAAGGATTTGATTGGTTAAGATAATTACCGGAATACTATTGACCAATCGTATAATACTATTTCTTTGCTTCATTTATCTGTCACTTCAAATTACAAATGGCGCACTTTACTTGACCTCCGCTTCTACAACCAATATTTTTTAAATATTTGAGTACAAAGAGGGCTCTAGTTCAATTTAGACTTCGCAGATTGATAGAAAAAGAGTTTGTTTATGAATTTTATGAGGAAATTTTAGATGTTTTCTATTTATTTCGTAGAAATCGACCAGAAATCGTGTTTGTATACATGAATAGATTGGACGTCGAAAACGACATGGATTGAAAATATTGGCATTTTCTGAAACTTTTACTCATTTCTTTGCTATTTGAAGAATTTTAATGAAATAAAAAGCTTTAACGCTTGGATTGATCCTTTCAGATGGCGACCAGAAAGAGATAACCGTGATCTGGTCGTTTCTTTCAGCAGTGTTCTTGTTTGTTCTGCATGATGTTTTTGTTTCGTTGGGGGCCTTATATCTTTATATACATATATAGACCGATTATGTAAAATATTTGATTATGTGACTAGCGCCTGTGGTCAATCTGAAATCATTCTAAGAATTTCTGAGGGTCATGTTTTGTCTTGGGTAGAGGGTAGAGTAATGTAACGTTTTTTTCTTGAGATATTAAATCTCCAAAGGCCAAGCTTTGTTAAATCAATTAAAATTCAAAATTTCGTTCGATTCCGAGAATTTTCCAAGTTGTTGGCCCCGGAAAAATGAAACGCATACGTAAAACATAGAATTGGATAAATACCGTTCAAGCACAAGACTTCAATTTAATTGTGTTTTGTATAAACTGTACATCACGAATCTGTTTGAAAATTTTATGCTATAATAGCGTCAACGCACGTTTATTTCGTGTTATATAGTCTGCAGAGTCCCTCGGAACTGTTGGAGCCCTCGCCCTACCGGGCTCGGGCACCAACCGTTCCTCGGGACTCTGCAGACGTTATAACACGGAAAAACGTGCGTTAACCCTATATTGAATGCATTTTTGTAAAACAATTCAAATATGGAGATCCATTTCATTGTGTTTATATTAGCTTAAAATACTTACAAAAGATAAAAAGAAAACAAAGCAGTGAACATCAGGTTATGATAATGAAATTCGTTTTGGAATAAAGAAGAATTATTGCATATGGAAAGCTTTGTATATAAATTTGCTGACATTTAAAATACTTTTAACAGAGTCTAAATTCATAAGTGAGATAAATTTTTGCTTAGTAGGCCAATGGCAAAAATATGGATTGAAGTACGTTTTTCTTAAGTTAGTATATTTTGGGCATACTAAAAGAAAGTGGTCCTCGTTTTCCATAACATTCATATTACAATTTGAACATATTCTTTCATTTCTGGGAATATTTAAATGTCTACCTTTTTTCAATCATTAAATCATGAGATGAAATTCGGAATCTTGTCAGTGCTATTTTAAATTTACTATTAGGTATTACATCTAAATATCGTTCTACTTTTAATTCTTTCTTATACCAGCTATATGACTGTAATCTATTTTAAGTTCTAATTTCAGCATCCCATTATTGTTTATATTCTTTGTTTAATAGTTTGTAAAGATACGATGTCAGCATTTTGGGATAGCCAAATGTTTGACATACCTATTTCATCGAAAATTTGTCCGACCCAATTAAGACCATTATAGTTATTACCATCATTAAAATCATCTTTAAGCATATTGTATGTCATTTTAAGTAATTTATTATCATCTGATTTTACTATTCGTATCCAAAATCTAATTAAATTTATTTTACGCTGTATCATCATAGGTCAGCATTTAATGCAACAAGGTTTGTACTTTTACGAACGTGTAATATTTTTCGCATGAATTTATTATGAATCACTTCTATATCATTTGCACTATGGTATCCAAATATTTCTGAGCCATAATTCAAAATTGATCCTACAAGACTATCGAATAAGTTACATTTTTCTTTTGGATTGAGATTTAATTGGTTATAAATAATAGATAAATTGTTGATTTACCTGCCTGAAAGCCAAATTGATTTTCAATGATTGTTTCGTTTGTTTGAGTCAAGTTCGTCAAGCGGTTTAACAGAATTTGAGAGTAGATCTTTGATATAATATTAATTAGAGTTATTCCTCTATAATTTTGTGGGTTTTCTATGTTCCCTCCTTTGTATATAGGTATTATTATTCCTTCGCCAAACGATTCAGGATATTGTCCGGTAGTAAATATATGGTTGAATAAGTGGAGCAAAAAGGGTGCAATTTGAGTAAATGTATGTTTATAAAACTCCGCTGGCAGAGTATCAAAGCCGCTGCTTTTATTTTTTGTGAGAAAACAGCATTTTTAAGTTCCATATAAGAAATCATTTGGTCTAGATATTCATCATTTACAGATTCATTTAAATTTTTGTTTTCATTTATACTTTCGGTACTGTAAAATGATTTAAAATTTTCATGTATGTCCTGAATATCAAGATTTTCGGCAGTTCCTTTACTTTTTGTATATTGATTTTTTATTTTTCTCCAGAATTCTTTTGGGTTAGCTTTACTCAGTTTTGCCAGCCTTTGTTTTTCATCGTTATTATATATCATTTTATTGAAATGTTTAGCTTTATTATATGATGTTTTGGCCTGAATATATTCTTGTCATGAATTAGCACAGTGTTTGTTACGTAAGAATATATTTCTTTTTCTTTTGAACATAGATCTTGCATCATAACACTCCGAATTGAACCAAGGTTGTTTGTTATTTTTAAAATGTTTGGTCGGCTTTTTATTTATTGAACATTTTAACATACAAGATGCAGACCCTTTTAGAATGTTTATGAAGCGTTCTGTTATATCATTTATATTATTCGTTGTATTAATCATATCTGTCAGATTTTGTATTTCATTACCCTTTAATGATAAATTATAATTGAGTTAATCAATTTTTGAGTTATCCCAAGCAATACGAATATTCTGTTGTTTGTCGTTATTATTATTTAATGTAGTTTGTAACGTTTTTTTATTGAAACTGATAGATATTCCCGAGTGATCAGAAAATTCGTTAGGGCTTAATATTTTAAAGTGTTTTACATGACAAATATCGTTTGGTTTTAATAAAAAATAATCTACTATTTCGAGAATGGAATGTAAACTCTCCTATATCTAGACGGCCGTTGCCTATTATATACGATGTAGACTGACATAATTCCATGAGCTGTTTACCGAAAGTATCGAGCACGTGATCTTTTGATACACGTGGCGGAATGAAAACAGATGACAACTGGTCATCATTATCAATATATCTAGATTTACACTAATAGATAAAAATTACACCGCAATGATAAGCACATTGATTACTTCTGTTTGTGCAGCGTTCATGTAGCCATCTATTAACGGTGTTTTTAAATGAAAACAGTCCAAAGATCATCTTTATATACATTTATTGAATAAAACATCATATTCAATGGCTCACTGGGCAATAATCGTGTTATAGCAATATAATAAATGCATTATTCATTTCGAAACTTAATTACTTTTCTTCTTCAGTAGCAAAGTAGTTTTATACCTTATATATCACAAATATTTATATCAATCATATATATCAAAAGGGTAAAAGCTATAGGGAAATCTATATATAGTATACATATACTCGTGTGTCGGCCTGTATCAATACTTGCAATCAACGTATGTCTTTTCGTGTTTTATGCAAGCGGTTATTTACTATTTCTACTCCGTTGCTCTTTTGTATTGTATGTCTTTGCTATACTTCATGTGTTTTCTTTGTAAATGGTCAAAGGCATTTGATTTACTGATGATGCTAATAAACTTGAAACATGCTAACGCATATAAGATTATTTCGTTCATTTTGATACGCTACATGTAATGTCTGTGAAAATTCATGTCTTTTGGACTATATGAAAGCTTAGGACAAAATTTTACGAAGGGAACTAAAGAAATATTGCGAATATAGCGGCGTACTGCTTTAAATTATTTGTAAATACGAGATGACTGTCGTGTAACTCAGTACCAAAGATAACACACATATTTTACCATATTAATGTTGTATTCTTAAATACAGTAAGCCACAAGGTCTAAATTAACTAGTTATTTACATCAGTGTCACGTGACTTTGTTGTTACACTCTTCACCTTACATTATTAATAACTGATTAATCACATATATTTTTATATAACATTTAAATGTTGTTGTTGTTTTTTTTTTATAGAATTTATATGACTCGTGCACTTTAATGAACCTAAAAAGTGATTCTATTTTTTTATTTTCACATGATGTTATTTGAATATGTTAGTGACATTAGTAGTTTATGTGTGGGTAACATGACTTTTTTGGTAATTCTATGTAGCAATTTTTATATTTGAAAGAAAACATTGACAAGAAGCTAGTAAAAACAACCCTCATTTTTGTTTTCAAAATGATAAAGACCTAAGATACAATTAGATAAGAGGTCAGGAGGTTCATAAAAGTAGACATAGTTCCAAGTATTTCAAAGTATTTATGAAAGTCTAGATGAAATATATAAATTCTAAATTCGGTTCATTTTTATAAAGCACTATAAACTACACATAATACATAATACATGCATTCTGTTACACGTATTGTTAACAATCAATTTACAATCAATTGTTTATAACTATACAAAAATATATATTTTCAGAGATGTTACTAGCAATATACAATTCATTCAGAATTTCTTGCATTTGAAGCAAAATATTATTATTCTTTACAGTATAAAGTTTTATTTATTTATTTATCTATTTATTTATTTCAGATTTTATATAGTCAATAAGCAATTTACAGCTCTATGAAATAATTTACACAGGCGGTTTTAGTTGACGGCTTTGTTTTCTTTATTTTAGGGCGTCACATGATGTGATAAAATGTTAAAGCTTTCACATATAACGTGAAACACTAGAAATCCTTCAAGATATTTTTGGCATCTCATCTTGAAATAAATGAAAACTGGAGAAAATATAACCTTGTCAAAAGACGGTTTTATGTTGTAAAATATATTATAGTTTTCGTACAAAAGATGGGGACCATTTGACGCCGGTCATGAATTGTCTGAAGTTTATCCGTCAGATGTGCAGATATATTTTGCAGGGTGAAAACTGAATATGTCTCTATATTTACTTCTCAGTGACACAACACATTTTTCATGTCAAAGTCACTTCCTTAATTTCTATATCTGTAACGAAGTGGCATTTTGTGCACAGAAATAACGCAAAAAAACTCTGTATTTTCTTTTATCTAATGTTTCATTAATGGGAAGTAATAAATATACGCAATTATCTTATGTAACGTGTTTATTGAAGTAATTTAAAGATGTAAAAAATAATGCGAAACCATATATTAGCATAGTTATACAATATGGAATTATTTTGGCAGAAATAAGCACTTTTATCTAGTCATTTATATTGTCATGAATTTAGTCTAAAGAAAAAACTATTTTACTATACGTATTTACTTACAGTGAAGATTGTTTTATAAAAAAAAACCTTAAACATGCAAAGAAGGCAATGGAGCAGTCCTGTACGCTCAATAGGTAGAGTGTTGGGCTGTGAATCGGGTGACCTGGGGGTCGCTCGGGTTCCATTCCCGGACGGTGTAGGCCACATTCGTTGTGATTGATCATGAAATCCTTTCAACTGTCATTCACACTGTACCTCTGATCTAGCATGTACATAAGTTATCAGTTCCTTGCGAAAGTGAAGGCAACAAATATTGATAAACTGCTTGCGAGCCTGCCCAGGAACAATGCGGTGGCTGAATTCTGGTTAACTGAATATGGCCGTGACCCGGAGTGATAACTTTCAATACTACCAACTACAAATCAATAGGTGTATACTTGAAGAGTTTCTAAAACATGCACAAGCATTTTTACTTTAAATTTGTTAAACACTCTTTTAAGTTCTAAGACAGACTTTTAAATTTGATCAAATAAGGCTCTGTTGACATAAAAATAGCATATCTAAGCTGCCCATATGTAAAAGGACTGTAGTTAATTATTCGACCTTTAATACTAAGAGCAAACATTATTTTTATCACTATATTAATAAATTTCTCCGTTTATTAGTCATATAACTTTGACATTTTATTTGTCTTATTAGAACAGCTATAGCAAAAGTGGCTTTGTTAAAAAACAAATAAGCAAGTACTATTATAGAAATAACTGTCATCACTTTTATAACAAAAAATTATAAGATTTTATTGTTGGAAAGTTGAAACATATTAAAGCAATATATCTTGCTACAGCTTAGTGACATAAACTGTCGGAATAGTGTCAACAAAACGTGCAAAAAATATCTGGCTTTATTTTGTTTTTGTTTTTAAGTACCATTGCTTTGATTTAAAGGGTCTTAATCATCTACGTTTAACCGGAACTTTAAAAGCCTCTTTCATAAAATTGGTTTAACTTTACTCAAATATCATAGAGGATAGATTGTATGTAAATTCTTGCAAAACATCGAATATTTCTCTCTAAAGTGTGACTCATTAATTATAGACGACAAGTAAGTTAATTATGAAATAACAGCAAATTAGCTTTTCATGTAATTTGCCTTTCTGAGGAATGACACGAAAAAAAGTACATAAAAACTGTCAAAATAAAGAAAGCGTGTCTAGCATTTAGGTCATATTTGTTGTTAATACTTCAATTTTAAGATACCTTTGCGTAAATTATTTGTCATTTGTAGTGCATTGTATAAACTCATTTATTAATTGATGCCCCTATTATGTCCCTTTTTAAATTTACACCGGATACAAATATGAATTTAGCTACTGTTCTGATTAAAATAATTACCAATTTAACCTATATTTTTACTGTCAGACCAAACATACATTATTGTAACATCCCAAATGATATAATTCATCCATCACGTGTATTTCAGTAATAAATAACACTATTATGTAGTGTTTTTTCTCATACATTTATTCCATTATCTGCTTGACTTAACCTTAATTGCTTACTGAATGTATAAATGATGGTACAACCTTGTACAGAACAATGACCATTTCATGGCTATTAGAGCGGTTGTTGATTATATGCCAGGAAATGGGAAAACTTGAAAGGAGTTCTTCTTATTTATAGTAGAACATGAACGTGTCTAATGATGTAATAAATTGTTGAGGTCGCAAGACTGGTTGTGACCAGCTTGAAAGTTTAGGGGTTTTTTTAACATTTTTTCTGTATGAACCGAGGGGACAGAGACCAACAAAGCAAAGCGACGTTTGCGATACATAGCCCTTTGGACATACATTTGTAAATTTTGTACTATTTCTAAGATTAAAAAAAAAACAAATAAAAAAATCTATCTAATTTAATTTTATGTAATTTTAGGTAATTTCAATGGAAGATAACTTAAACATAGTCTCACAAACCATTTTGTTTTATTATTTGGTTTACATTTTTCATTGAATACTTGGTCACAGAACGCAATTCCATGGGATTCTATTAAACATTTGTTTTCGTTTTACTCGGTTAAATTACGGAGACCGGTCATTTTGTACAAACATGCCATATTTAAAGAAAATAGAAATAGCTGTAGGTCAAGCAGAAATAATTCAACAAACTACCGATTACAATTTCTTGAAAATTTGCAGTCAGTCGATGGGGAGTCAGCACAACTCATCCATCCATTTAAAAAAAAATATTTCCTGTTTTTCAGGTTTCGTGCTTGTTATTCAGGAGAAGGACCTGGTACTGTTGAAAGTTGTTAAACAAAGACTCAGGTTTCAGTTAAGAAAGGACAAGGAATCCACGGCAAAACTTGACAAATATAGGGTAAGATTCATACTTTATAACAATAGGTAAATGTGTCTCACATGTTTGTAACATGTTTCTTGCCTTTCGCTTGTAAAGTGACTGTATCAAACAATATTTTGAATTATAAATGGTCAGTGTATCTGAGATCTGTAGTACTAACGTTTTAATTAATAAACAAATTTAGCAGGACTAGATTGATAATTGATTATGAAAAAAAGGTAATATATTCTTCTTCTGTTTTACTTGACATTTTACAAAGGTATAAGTTTCGATAAGAGTACTTGTTCTTCAGTATGTTTCTATGTAACCTGACGAAAAATGTACATGACAAAAAACACAACATTCGACTGAATACTAACTATTAAACAAAAAAACAACAAGTCAGTCTAGCGTGCTTACATGACCTTTATACAATAAGTAGGTCGGTAAATTGCAAAAGAAAAAAACACATTTTATACCATTATACCAGCGGATATCTCTATAATTGTCATCTACACATAGACTGATAACAAAAGCTATATACGTTTAATAATTATACAGTGCAAAACATAACAATTTTTTTGTCAATACTTACACAAGTTGAATAAATATACGTCCTTTTTAAAGTCCGCTTTCATTACTTTTTAGTAGTATACCATTTGATGAAAATAAGATGAAAAAGGATAGTTATGTTGCGATCTATTTCGAATTGTAGACGTGTCCCATTTAAATTATAAAAATCAGTATTGACCAGGCAATTGTTAATGGCAAAGAATAGTTCAAGATGTCGGCATTATGATTAGGATATTACTCACTATAATCATACTATATGATGTAATTTTCTTTTATTCAACATTCCAATGTTTATGTTTACTTAATTAATGCTAACAAAATTTAAATTTCAATCGACACAAAGGTACAGTAGCCATATATTTGTCAGGTTTTATTATTTCCTGATATTTCAAAATGCTATATCTGCTTTTGAATATTCAATAAACTTCATTAACATGCAATATTATTTTATTACCCTTATGCATTGTTCAAACTTGTCACTCATTTAGGCACATTGACATTAAAATTGCTAAATTAAAAGAAGAAACAAAAATAAACTAATTTCGTATGTTTTAAAAATTAATTTCCACAAAGGGCAACCAAGTTGATAAGATACTGAAAAATTAATGTCGTCAGTTTGATGGATTGTCGTTGCTAAACATGATTCAATCAAATCTCTCAATTGTAATTCTGTACTCATACTGCTGAATTAGCGTTATTGACATGTGACCTGATTTTAATTTGGAACTTTCAATGGCTAGTGTGGGGAATAAGAATATCCTGTGCCAGAATACAAGCTCTTGAGAATAGCATGATTCCCTACTTGCTGTTGCCTTCAAGAACATTACCGCGACTGGTTCTACCAGTAGTTCATAACCTGACGCTATACACTCGGGGTGTGGGGGGTCCTGTTACACGAGGTTTGGAGTTCTTATGATAACATGTCAGGAGTTCTTGTGGAACTGTCATGGTGTTCGACGGAAAACTTATGTATATACTACAGAAACACTCGTCAAAATGATAATTGTTTTCTTTAAAAGGTGTGTTTTAGGTGCTTAGTTAAACTTTAATGATTAAACTTGCCTTACATCTTGTATTATGAGTGAAACACCAATTAATAGGCCATTTTTCATCATCGCTCCTTGCTTAAAATCTTGTAGTTTTTAGTAAAATTTCCAAATTATTTGCCAATTCGCACGTATTGACCTGTTTATTTCTGGTCTTCATCCCTGACATACACGTTTACCTAATTATGATGCAAAATTGCAAACATAAAGCCCCAGCTAACAAATTTATACCCGATGTTTTAAATGTTCTGGAGTTCTTGTGATAAATCTGAAGATGTCATAGAGTTCTTATGCTAACTAAATCATTATGAAATGTATTACGCTCATCCTTTTCACAAAAACGTGGATATAATGGATAAACAGCTGATATAAAAGACTATCAACTACAGTAAAAATTGAAAAAGCGGTCACCGAGATTTTGTAAAATAATGGCTTAAACCGCAAAACAAAACAAAATGTCTCAAAACCTAAACGTTGTTCTCAGTTAGAAATTTTTAAGCAACCACCTTTCTAAAGTAAACAAATTATAGTTGTAGTTTTTTTATCTAAGGGCTAAGTAATTTGTATCATTTTATACCATAATAAACAAATATATAGCCAGGATAATATCCACACCTATGTCTGCAAAAAAGTATGATACATGATACTTGGCTCTAACAACCGATCTCTCGAACAAATTTGCACGCCCCTCCGGGTTCGAGCGAACTAAGTTTAATATTTTTGCTATCAATTACAGCAAAGTAGCAGAGTTTCCTCCACTAAGATAACATAGGGGGGAATACCCATTAAACATCGACAGAAAAAAAGTTATGTTTAAATGTTAAAAATGACAACGTACATGGTATTACTTTTGTAAATCTGGAAAAGTATTTTAAAGCAAATGTTTAAAGTAAGTGATTCTAAAGATATGACACACAATTTTGAGTTTAACTTGACTTTGATAAGCTAAACTCTTCCGCACTATGGAGAGTCCTGTAAGTCACGTGATGCTAAAATAGATATAACAAAGATAGAAAAGGGTCGATCCATTCCTAAGGTGACTCACATTTATAATTAAATACTTGGTTTTTATTGTCATATTCTTGTTATAGAATTTTCTATTTGCTATATGGCAAAAGTTGATACCTTTTAGATATTTTATATACGAAGAATACCAGAAGATGACCCACCTCATTAGATTTAAATATAAGTAGTAAATACGCAAGAAACACACTGGCAGTAACAAAAGTTATCATAAGAACTCTAGGAAATCTTCAGAGTTGTCACAAGAACTCCAGAACATTTAAAACATCGGGTATAAATTTAATAGCCGGGGCTTTATGTTTGCAATTTTGCATCATAATTAGATTAATAAGTATGGTAAGGATGAAGACCAGAAATAAACAGGTCAATACGTGCAAATTGGCAGATAATGTGGAAATTTTACTCAAAACTACCAGATTTTAAGCAAGGGGGAGATGAAAAATGGCCTATTTATTTATTTATTTTTTGGCGGGGGGTGAAGGGGGCGGCAGTCACCCTCATCGCCAAGAAAATTTTGAACATGTGACAGGCTTAAAATGGCCTCAGGTCGATTGTAAGGTAACGTGTAACCAACGCTGAAAAGCCTTTTACTCTATCTCAATCCATTAAGAAGTTGCAGCACTTTGAAATCAGTTTTGTTGGGGAAAAACAATGCAAAATAGTGTTTTTGGCAATACCGTTGCCATGGTAACAGGAAATTTAAGATTGAGCATGCTGTTATAGAGGCTATGGTCCAGCTAACATATGTGCCAAGTTTCATCAGTATTGAAGCATTTTTATTTTTCATAGTTTCACAGCAGTTTGAACTTATATAACAGGAGATTTTTCAATGACATTGGCCATTTTACACAATTTGCTCATGAGGTAAAGGTTTAATGAGTTAAAAAAAAGAGTTAATAAATAGTTTATAAAGCGTATAATGACTTCCTTACAAGTCTTACATTTATTCTTTTATCATTTTTAAGTTTTGTTATTTAAAAATTTAAAAAAATCATCTATATCTATTTTTGATGTTTTGATGATTCCATGTTTAAAAAAAAACTAACGGTTTAAAAGATATTATTTTTGACTTTATTTCAATTCAGACTATTGGTATCAATGGTATTACACTATTCTTCTTATATCGTTTATTATGATTTCTGTTCACTGCTGAGTTTTTCTTGTTTTACAAAATGTCATCCATATCAAATTAAAACCATTACATTCACGACATATTTATTGAAACCGACAGAAATTGGTTGATACATTTTAGTGTTGCTTTTTTATGTTTCTTACAAAATCATTACCTTATCTGACGGTAAACATATTATGCATTGAGCAAGGTTATCTTTTAGTTATTTATTTTGTTGTTTGTTGTTCATTTTGTTGTTATTTTTGCTGCTGTTTTGTTGCTGTTAACTCGATGTTGAAAAGTCAAGGTTCAATTAACTCTAAAATTCTGTTTCTTTTTAAAATGCTTATATATGATTCGAATAATGCAGTCAAAATACATGTATTTGTACATTATCTATGACAAAAGATAAAAAATAGATAGCTACATGTAAAAACCTGTTTGATTTTATGCAAGTTATTTATTTTATTGATAGCTTGAGGTTAGACAACTGCAGGGACTTTGCAGGAAGTCTGGGGCAGATGAAAACTCTATACAAGCATGCTGTCCAACAGGTGAATAGACTGGTCAAATATATAACATTTAATGATAATGACTGCTTTAACTTTTACACACTTATGTATGTATATCTAAAATTTGTGAATGTCTCAACGTTAAAATAACTTTAATGTATATTCTTAAATAAGAATATACTGCAGACAGTTTATCAAGAAAATCCTTTTACCAAAATATACACAGAAATTTTATTATCAAAGGGATATGATAAGCATGAAACATGATTTTAACTAAACTCCTTGTTTCTTCGTCATGTATAACAACAGACATAATTCTTCCAAAAAGCTATATTACATGATGACTGTATAGGATTAACCTTACCAACATGAAATTTTATTTGTGAATTCTAACTTAGTAATTGTTTTTACCAACAGGACGAAGACGGCGTAGTAGTCTATTTCAGAGTTTGACTAGTCTGGCATCAGTTGCTTTAGTAAGTGCTATGGGATCTTCGCCAAAACTTGGGCCTGATAATGTCTCCTCATCAAGTGAATCAGATGGTGAATTAGATAAGGAGTTAAAGAAACTACCACGTATACAGTCGACAGAAAGTGATATGAACGTAACGTTTGATATTTTTCCCGAGCCTGAAGATTTTGAACATGAGATTATCGTAAAAGGAAGTCAGAATAATGCATTCACTTTTGACGAAACGGATATAAAGAAGTTTGAAAATAACGAACCGGGAAACAAGAAAGAGGTAAATGTGTATATGGATATAGTTAGTAATTGCTGAATCATGTTCACTAATTAGTGTTTGAACAGTATGTCGGTAAGATGTGTCTGTTTGATTGTAATTGTTGTGGACATAAAATGATGAAGGCAATCTTCATCTATAAAACTTATTAACTTCCTTAAATGATTAACGACCTAATTGTTTTGGACAAGAAATCAGCATCGATGTGAAAGGAACGATGACATAACAAAACGTTAAGCCTTCCATCATTATTAACGTCTATGATGTATGCAGAGGCTTCCAAACTAAGTAATGCAACATTTGCAACAGTTAATAAATAGAAACAATTCATTAAAACTTTGAACATGTTACGACGTCAATATACCAAGTAATCCGAAATTTAAAAAAAGATGGCAAACTTTATAAACATAATGCATTCATATCTCAATGTTTATGACAATATGGTGACTCTTATAGACTAAATCACAGTTGCATTTTAATTATTAAATCATTACACAATAATCATTTAACAATGATGTGTTTCATTTTTCAGGGTTTGTCTACAAAGTTGTAAAGAAGACTTAACATGTTGACGAGGAAAACATGTTTCGTGTAACAGGAACATTTGTTTGATTGGGTTACACTCTTGCCAGTGTTGTGTTTGTGAAGTTTCGTGATTAATTTGAAGCTCAGCAAATATACAAACGTGTTACGTTTTATCTTAATCTAAGATGTTATCTTTAACGTACTCTTATGGAGTATATACATGTACATAAATTGTTATTGTCACCGATTAATGTTGAATGAACGGCCAAGAAGTACTATTTGTGTACATAGTAATTTGTTTATGCACGTGCGTTTATTTTACAAGGTGACAGCATTAAGCAGAATATCACGTTATTTAGGGAGGGGTAGTATTTAATCAGTCTTCAGTTTGTCTCAGCTTACACGATCTTTTAAATGAGGCACATTATGCCTCAGAACCACTAATTATTTAGATCTTTATATAGGGTAACCTTAAGTTTGAAATTTTTTAGAGCATGTCAGGTGCTTAATAACATGAAGATAGAAGCGCAAAATGTGAAACTTTTTGCAATAAATGTAGCCAAATGTAAACAAAGTAGTTTTTGACTTACATACAAAATACTAAATTACTATAACTGCAGTAATTGCCAAAAAGCAACAGTCAGGTAATTTGCAAATCAATTACTTTTTGGAAACTAACAAAATATAAAAGGCTTTTGAGAAATAATAATAAAAGCATTTCTGAGGCATAATGGGCTTTTAATATTTCATACAGGGAAACTTAATCAAAATGATATTTATAAATAGGGCAACATATTTGCAGAAATATTATGTTTAAAGCAACACAAGTTAGCTAGAATATTAGGGGAGTACATGCTTTGTTTTTCAACGTTGACGTTGATTTAACTAATTTATCTTTCACTTGTGTAAATAACTTTTTTGCTACGTTCAACTCTTGCTCAGTACTCAGTATAATAGCACAACATTATCATTACAGCATTATTAAGATTTAACATGTAAAACTGTCTTTTTACAGTTCAGTAGACATTTGAGATATATAAAAAAATCCAAAATTTTTAATTTAATCAATTGTTATTTCTTATATGTTATGAAAATATTGTAAACATGTCATTTGTTATAAAGCTGCATGCCTCCAGAGGAACTAAAACAATTTCAAGAAAATTACCCTTGACTCAAAATGTACTAAAATGTTAGTTATTAAAATTATTCGCAATTCAAGACATAATTTGCAAGTAATATGCAATCAATGACTGATTTTAATCTGAATATGTATCACCATATTTCTGTGTGAATTACGCGGTAAGTTTTTGTTTGTTTGTTTTGTTTTGTTTGTTGTTGTTGTTGTTGTTTGTATGTTGTTTTGTTGTTGTTGTTGTTGTTGTTGTTGTTATTGTTGTTTTCTTTGCATATTCTGACATATCTGGAGGCATGCTGCTTTAAACAATTATAGTTTAACTAAGAGAATATTAAATGTTTATCATGAAGATATAGAATACGATGAATGGTTTTACAGACAATACTAAATATGAAGATATATTATAATACTATAAATAATGTAAACTTTTTAATCGTTTGTCATTCATGAAGAGTTTCTGTTAACTAAAGTTGTTTATTGATATTCAATAAATTTGAAACATTTTTAATAACTGTATTTTAGTATGTATTCAGCTTTATGCGAGTGTCATTTTGGGATCCATATTATAACAGAGCTATATTTCTAATTTTGTCCTAACTCATTACGTTTTCTCCATTGTTATTTTTCATTTTACTTTTTGTTATATATAAATAAAAAATAAACAATATTTTATTGTTTCTTATTTTCCAAGTCTATTTTAGCGCCACTTTTTATTTAAGAAAATGTGGACCTTACGTCATGATCCATTTGTCGGCGTCAGCGTTAGTTTTCGTTTGTGGTCAATTAAAGTACTTCAATACTAACGATAAATAAAGTTCAAACATTATGAGCAGATGAACCTTAGTAGATTCTACCTGTCAGACTTTTTTAAGGCAAAGGGTCAAGTTCATTTGGTCCTGTCATATCAAAATATAAAATTTGGTATTGTAGCAAAATACGTCGACCAATGAACTTCAAACGTTGTATGTACATGTTTCTTGATAATCTTTATTTTGATGAGACACCTATCAATTTTGTGATTGGGAATTGTGCGAGGAGTGTTCAAATAGAACGTTAAATTGTTCAATATTGCAAAAACAAATCAAAACGAAATGAAAGTTATCGGGTAGAGATACATTTCAGCTTTACACTGATACAACATTCACTAAAATCCGTTTACTTTAGCTGTGTTTATAGCTCGCTATACATTGCCTACTTGCTTACTGTAATACAAAAAATGGTTGGTAGAAGATATGAATGTACCATTAAAATACCGTCTTACATGCGGAATTGTTGTCTCATTGGCACAGAGTGTAACGTCATTTTTTATGACAGCTGATCTGTATATGGACAAAAATGATATCTGTTATTCTTGAGTTAATAAATTCAAATGTGGGTTACTTACGGCTTAGATGCACCCCATGTCCGTCACCTTCATTTCGCAAAGTCTGTCAAGATTATTGCTAAAGTGAAAGAAGCAGTTAATACCAATGCAAGATACACCACTAGGTAAACCAGTATAATTGGCATCAAATTAAGAGCAGCTCACACAATTTTTAAACGTGATTTGAGAAAGATTTGTAATTCCCCATTGGCTGCCAGATGAGCAGAAAAATCCAAAATTTGTTGCTTTAACAGTGCCGGTCTTTTGCAAATGTCGTCACTGGTGACGAGATATGGATTCGGTTTTATGAGTCTAAACGAAAACACCGAAACAAGATTTGGGCTTCAAAGTCTGGCAAAAGAATGCATTGCTTAAAGGACCTTCAGTATACAGCAAGTCAACGCAGTTTTCTCGTCAAACAACTGACCACATCACAACTAAAATCGCACACGTTCCGTTCCAAAGTTTCCTCCGTTGTGTATTTGTTGAAGGACTTTTATACTTTGACCAAATATACAAAAATAAATGTTAAACTCATGTACTAACATTTAATGATACATATTAAGATATTATAAATTGTATACAGTTCTACACGACTACTGTTATTTGTTTTTTGTCTTTTGATATGGACCATTCATCCTCGCAAACGAAATAGGGTATGTAATTTGTAAGATTTAATAGTGTAACTATTTCCACAGGGTAATTCATTTTAGTACTCTTTACAACGTTATAACTATTCATAGATCATAAACGACAGAAAATCTTGAGTATTTACAAGTTACCTTAATTGCGAGTATAACAAAAACTCAAGAATATATATTACATGTACTTAAAATAAAAACATTTGGTCAAGTAACAGTGTACTGAACTTTCATAAGTTCATAGGTAATCGTAAATGGGGTCAGACATTTTGTGAATTATAAACTAGGTTAAAGTCATTGTTGTTAACAGTAAAGTACAAAAATATGCCACTGTGGAGACACAATGGACCATTTTGCAAATTTATGGTCGATACAATAAAGAAAGGATGAGTGGACCATCTTTTAGTTTTCACATTTACTGTATTTAAAATCTTTACATAGATTCTTTCTTCTTATTTTGTGAAAAGTTGCTGATCGCATGTTTGTTAATAAAAAGATATGTATTTTCTATATTGTAAGTTATATATTAAAACACCTTCTGGGTAATTGTTATTTTCAGTTATCACATTTGTGTGGCGTCCCGACAGTTCTACAAATTAATGTACATAATTAAAACCAGCATAAACTCACAAAATAAACAGGCATGTGTTATTATAATTAGATTTTTAGACTCGTTCAGATCAAGCTGAACATTAAGTGATGATAATATAATAAATAAGAAAGGGGATGTATTATACAAAAATAAAATTTCGTGTAAATTATGTACACGGTGATCCTTAAAACATTACTGGTGAACTGGTGATTCTAGAAGATGACATTGAATTTAAACAGAAGTCTCTAAAACATACATTTTTAAGTATGAAGACTTCACAATATTTAGAAGTATGTTCTTCTCTGCACAACTTTCGAAGTATGTGAATGTGGGTTAAAGGTGTACGAGTTGTTAGCATTACTGTAGTACCAGATAATGAACCATTTAATTCAGTGTCGGTATACGACTGAAAAAATAAGTGTTATTTTAATTTAAGCGGTTAACTCTACTGGAACTGCTTAATATCTGCAATCAGAAAAGTACCCTTGCGAACTGACCTGGCTCTACACTGAATGGTGGTATCTCAATTTTCCTGGTACCCGGCATAAACGTATCCGAGTTATAAACAAACGGAAAAATACCAAGTCAATGTTGATTTATGTCTTTCTATAATGTGTTTCATTACACAATATTATTGTCGTATGTATTTTCTTCGTGATAATTGACAATCCTTGGACTGTTTTAAATTTAAAGCTGGACAAATCAATTAGACAGACCCAGCAAATCAAGGTTTAAATCGTTTTTAATAAGGCTTAAAGCAGATGCAAACGTGATATGTAAAAAAAATAAAATGTTCCTGCATTATTTATGTATAAGGTCGATTATTGTTCTGATCAGGGGAAGTAGCCGCATTTCGCTTTTGGACAGGTTCAATTTTTACAAAACATTACTTTTCATTGGACAATTATGTTGTTAAAGCCATTTATATACATGGCTCCAGCAAATGTATAAATTAATTATTTTAACCACTGAATGTATTTGTATATTGTTTAATCTATAAATTAGTTAAACAGAGATTGACGTGTCATGTAGCCCTGTATGCACGGATGTTTGTAAGCAACTCAGGTTATACATGTAGAAACTTACAACATAAACTATCATATATTTCTTAACTGTTTATAACAATCTACTTTAACTAACTTGGAAGTAAAACATAATGTTCAGTTCAAACATTTTACTTAAGCTTGTAGCTTTATTGAATCATTCTTGAAACCAGCCAGCACAGATGTCATATTAAGAAACATGGTTGTGCCATAAGCGGGGCTCTGACCTGCGATAACTGGGGAAGCAAGTCAAA